TGTTTTCTTCGGGTAAAATAGGATGGGTTAAACCCATCCTATTTTACCCGAAGCAAACAACTTTCTAATTATCTTGGATCCCATCATTAGATCTCAACAATTTTAGACTCATTAGAATTTCTCTTCGAGACGGACATTTTGGAGGTAAAATAATCCCAAACTGACCGGTGAATAAAAGTTATTCACTGTCAAATATTTTACCAATTTTAGTAGTAAAGACGCAAATCGGCCCATATGATACGTATAAATTTTTATTACGTAGAATTTAAATTTAATTCCAACGTAATATATTTTTTATAAATAGGAGTTACCGTTACTATATTTATGAGAAATTTTTTATTTCACGTTATTAAGATATTTTAACATTTGATCCAAGTATTTAATTAAATTGACTCCTTACTCTGATATGACCATTGTTAAAAGCCAACCCATTAAAAAAATTCCCAAGGCTAAAGAATACTAATTTTTTCTTAATTTTTCCTTTTTTTTTGATTAATTCAATAAAAGAAAAGACATATGTTAAAAGATGACTAAAAATTTAATCGCTGAATTCCATCTGGAAACATAAATCAGAAACCTAATCAATATTATTATCATGTATATAATCATGCGATTTTTTTTTTTTTTGCCTTCACGGCAAAATTATCTCATACTAAATATATGTATAAACAATACCTCATCGTATAGCCAATATCTTATAATTATCGTTAGTTTATTTGATGCGTGAGAATAGCGTGCATTATATTATCCCAGGTACAGTATTTATCCAATACCTTGGGAGGGTAACTATAATCAAATGCGTGAGAATTGCGAGTATGTGTGAATTAAAAATTACGTATTTTTTACGAATATTGTTTATTAATATTATCTTATTATGAGATCATTAGAAATATAATAAATGATATATAATATAAATACAAGAAATATTTTTTCTTCGCTAACAGTGCTTTTTTATTGATAATTATTATTAACAATATCAATACCAATTACTAATTGCTGATAAAAAATACCAAAAATGTGTGACGAACAAGGAAAAAATAAAGAAGGACACTTGAAATTAATGAAAACTTGGTGAGTTCTTAAACGACTTAGAGTTGTTATTCAATTTTCGTATGCTTCTAATAATTAATTTTCTTTAAAGCTATGAAAGTTCGGCCGCTTGTCTCGTAAGTGCTTATTAAAAATATATGTCTATCAGTGAAATAATGCAATCTCAAGATTTAGAATTTTATTATTGATGACGAGTAGGATTGTGCAGAGAAATCCGGCAAAGAAGAATGTTGCGAGACTCAGTGCAGAATTAATGCAGGTTACCTATTTATATATACGTTAAAGTCGTTTAAAAAAATTAATATTTGTGTAGTTCAAATATAATTTTTTTTTTTTTTAAATCAAGAATTGGCGGATACTACCGCGAGATTGATGTCTTTGAATGCTCCTCAAGTGGATGCTCTAATCAATCTTGTTATTGAATCGTCCCAAAAATGTGCCGATATTTGGTATAAGACTATTTATTTGCTCAAGTATTATGACTCGTTTCATTACTTTATATCTTGATAATTAATTATTATTTTTCTATCCGTTGTATTTATAGTTCTAAGGTATAATCCTTTTGTCGATGCTTAATTTATTTTATTAGTCATTCGCTAATAATTCATGTATATTTATTTTACCACAAAAACGATCATTGTCAAGCTTGTGCTCACGCGGCGCGTAATCTGAATCAGAATTTACGAAATTATAAGGGTGTTACTGCCTAGCTTTTACATAATTTTGCCATTTCTATTTCATGTTTCTTGTTTTCCTATTAGCTATTTGCTATGCTATTTACTTGATAAATACTATTTCATCTTTAAATAAATAATGTTTGCTTTTCTAATTTTTTTCTGCTTGACACAATGTACTATAAAACTTGATTTTACTTAATAAAAATAATAATTACCATAAATAACGATGATCTTGGTTTGCGTAACATTGATCTTAACAATTGCGATACTTGAAAAACTTTTTCTTACGTGGCTGATATCATATTTTAATAAAATTAATAACTTAATACAGTAACTGATAAGGTCTTATGAATGAATTTGTACAGTGGTTATGTGAGAATGAGGCTACTTTTCCAAAGGTTAGGTTTGATGAAGGTGAATTGATTTCCACCTATTTCTGTATTGCAAGGTCGCAATGATGAATATAAAGTTTTTAATCATATATTGATATAATTTATTTTCGCTCTTAATCATATCATGATATAAAAGATAAAAATGGAATGGGTGGCAGTTATGCTGTTCAACCGATTCATCCAAATGAGATAATTGCTACACTTCCTTTAAATCTAACATTAACTCCCAAGCTTGCTCGTGAAAGTTTACCTATTCTGACTTCACTCAGTTGTCGTGCAGCGCTTGCTACATTTTTAGTTCATGAACGGCTACTTGGAAATTTGTCATTTTATCACCCGTATATTAATATCCTACCAAAGAATATATCTACTCCTCTGACGTATAGTGAACGAGAAATGTTGTGGTTAAAAGGAACTAATCTTGGTCCTGGTAGTGAGAATAGAAAAGAAATATTGAGGAAGGAATTTGAAGAGGTTTTGAAAGTTGTATCAAATGGTGAATTCATTGACGGATTATCATGGTAAGTACATATTATAATACAGTATTTATATCAGTACGGCAGTAGAGGTTATATTTATATAACCTTATTTTGAGTATAGGGAATTATATATGTGGGCATGCGATGTTATATCGTCGCGAAGCTTTCCGAATAAACTAGTTAATCCTGACGATACTGAAACAAAAGAAGCTTTGTTTCCGTTAATTGATTCTTTTAATCATAAACCCAGACAAAAAATTACTTGGGAAGTTCATGAAAGGAACAAATTACGCTTAGTTGCTAGTGATTATATAGAAGCTGGACAACAAATATATAATAATTACGGCTCCAAAGTAAATATTTTATTCGTTATTTCTATTGAACACATTTATTGCTAAATTAATAATTTTTAATATTTCAAATCTGTTTTCAAAAGTCCAATGAAGAACGTAAGTGCAAACTTAATCAAATCCTTTATAATTGAATATATTTATTTCATTATTGATTTTTTTTTATCTTCAAATAGTGTTAGTTGGTTACGGGTTTTGTATTCCTGATAATCCTGATGACTGGGTAGTGATCAAAGTAAACATTTCACAGGATCCACAGTGTGATGAAAAACTAGATCTTTTATCAAGTTTAGGACTTTCTGAAATTACACATTTTATTAAAAAAGATAATATTCCTTCAAATTTATTATCACAGCTGCGAGTGCTTGTAATGAACTCTGCAGAATTAATCTATTTTCGAAAATTACAAGAAACTCGAAATTTTAATGTCAATAATAGTATAAATGAGCCTATAGGATATCGAAATGAACTTGCAATGTTAAAAACTTTTTCTAACTTGTTGAAAATGAAATTGGAAATTCTTTTAGATCGAGATGAAGAGTTTTGTGATGATAAAATTATGTCTGTGAAAGAATCTGAAAGCATGATGAATTGTAAAATATATATCGATGGTAATTCTATTTTAACTTAATTTGATTTTATTTGTCTCGGCTTAAAATTAATCGACCCATGCTATATATAGGACAGAAAGAAATATTAACAAGTGCACTTGCAATAATTTATTCTAAAGAATTGATTATTCTTAAATCAGCATTAAATGATTCCAAATCTAATAGAATTTCAAACCTACCCTTTGTTTGTAACGATATTAATATCAACAATTATCATAATAACAATAACGCGTCTTTTAACGATATTGATTCAATAGTCCTCGCTAAAGATGAGTTATTAGATTCATTGTTGATTACTATTGATAAAGTAATGAAAATTGACAAGAAATTTTCTAAGGCAATCCATGAGATATTTAGCAACGAGTTGTTAGTTAGTGAAGAAGATACCATATTAATACTTTACTTAATTTATGAAAGTCAATATATTGAAAATTCCAAATGGAAATTATTTTTTGAAGTTGCTATTAAATACGATGATTTTTTACATGTAGGAATTAATTTATCACTCTATTTTATTGAGATTTATTAATAATTTTAATCTTTTTCTTGTTATCTAGACAAGGTTATGATGAAAAGATTCAAGAATTAACAGAATTATATGATGAATTGCAACCACTTGTTTGTAATCCCGATGTTAAATTATTTGAAAAAGATGTCTTTAGTATTGATAAATTAATTTGGTCAACATGTATTTTTGAAATATGTTCTATTACTTTTAATAATAAGGATAAAAGACAAACCTTTGGAATTGTACCATTATAATGTCAATTAACAGAGCAATTAATTTCTATTAGATAATTTTTTACAAAACTTTTCCACTTTAGAAACTTTTCTCTAATATTTGACTTATTAATTAAAATTTTGTTGACTTAATTTTTCTCTTGATATATGCTAGTAAAATATATTTTGTATATATTTAAAAAAAGAATCTATTAGAGTTGCCTGCCATAATTAATAAACAACTTATTAAAGATGCCTATGGTGGGCAACTCTATATTTAATGTTAGCTAACACAATTAAATACCGACAATTATTAGAGGCTAATTGAAGTCTCTAAAAAGAGATAAATATTCCGAGATTTGCATTTAGTATTTTAGCATTAACTTTTATATAGCTATATTCTAATATGTAATATAAAATTAAATTTATTTAATAACATTTATTCCTTTGAAGATGTGTCATACGTATCGATAATAAGTTTAACATATTTAATAGAAGTCTAACATACTTAATAGAAGTCTATAATATTAGTTTAATCACATGTTTTGAAATATGGAATAGTTATAAGGTTTTGTAAATTCGTAGTAATCGACACAGACATTTTTTTAAACGTAGAATGCTGCATGACTTCATGTGAAATGAAATTTTTTAAAATTATAATAAGCAAACCAATTTTTAATATTGAGTATATAGTATAATAGTCTCTATTATGTATAAAGAATTGGTTATCTATTTAATATTTACGTGGGACTGGTAGGATCCCAAATGTTTTACTTAGGGGTCTGAAACCCAGGCTCGTGTCTGTGCCCAACAAAAATCTAGGCATGGGCATGGGCACGGGCACGAAAGTTCAGGTATGGGCATGAACGTGGACATAAAATTTTGGCATGGGCATGGGCACGAGCACAAAAGCTCGGCATGGGCATAGTAACGGGCACAGAAATTTGATATATTATTTGAGTGCTCGAGAGTTATCACATGAAAATTGTTATACTAGTAATGTTACATGATAATTTTTACTTAATGATTTTCCCCCATTTCAGTATTTAATTTTGTCTAGCACTGGTGCCTGGCACATTGTGCCTAGCACTTAATGCCCATGCCTATAATAATGCCTGGTACTTTGTGCCCATGCTTATTATAGTGCCTAGCATTAGTGCCCATTCCTACAGAGTGCCTGGCATGGTGCCAATATGCCCGGCATGGGCATTTGCAGAGCACTAGTTTTCGCTGAGTAATTTTTTATTAACATCAATTTAAACGTAATCCTGACATAAATGAACTTCAAAGGATTTTAAAATCGCGTGATTCCTTGATCAGTTAAAAATTCAAAATTTAAATTTAAAATAATTTTTTTTTTAAATTTAAGTGAGTGTTCTCAAACAACTCCCTCAATGTGATCGAGTTGTGCACAAGAATTACAAATAATTCTTAGCAATTATGTATAAGACTCATGATGGGCTCATATTCATGGACATCTCATTCATCGCTCATGATGTGGAATAGGATATTAAGGGCGTTCTCAAGCAATGTGATTTGAACTGAGACATTAATTGAAGCGGCTATTACGATTAAATGGTAACGATATGCTGGAATTCATTGAATTGCAGATTTTAAATTTTAGCAAACTCTGAATAAATTGGGGTTTTATTCATCGAAATTGATTAGTAATTTCGATTTACACCCTTATTTAGTTAAAAAGTTCTCAATGTTCTCTGAGAACATAAAAATTTTGGGTTACACTTATTGTGAGATTTAAATTTCAAAAAATAAAATCTACCATATAATTTAGAGAATATTGTTGATAATTTAAATTTTATACACTGCTCATTTGATAAATAATCTAATGCCACATATGATTTGTTACAAATATATGAACTTTAAAGCGCAAAAAACTTTTTATAGAAAATTTCATAACAAAACTAACCGATAACTTTATAATACATCAAAGATATCCTAATGATTACTGTTGAAAAGTCTTCGAAACAGATAATCTCTCAATACTGGAAAAAACCTGTTCACTATGTATGACGGGTTTAGTTAGAAAATTATACAATGCCTTATAACATTTTGATTTTGTGTGACTAAAAGACAATATGTAACTCAATAATATTTAAAACTTAAAAAACCAAATTACTTTATTAATAATTTTAAGTGTTTCAACCCAACTTAATAGTATAAAAGTCTCACTAATTAAAATTTTATCTCATGCTTGTTCGAGGTGGTACAGACTCTTTAAGCAAATTAAAGATGTACGTGCTTTTTAATGATGTTGGTCGATGTGGAAATTCTTTTTTTTAAAAATATTTTCAGCCAAGAAAAAAAGATCAATCGCATGTGATTGATTATTGGTGATTAGATTAACAATAAACAAATGATTGTTACATTTTCCAAGTTTATTTTTATTTGTTTAACGTTATGTACAGTACGTACCTGCCCATCTTCTACGTAATTAGAACACCGAATTCGATAAAGAACCCGATTGGTCTATCTGATCAAACTGGCCAATCATCGAATTTGATACTTCAAATAATAATTTCGAATTAAAATATCAGTATCTTGAATATCGAGAATCGAATTTAATTAGGGATATTAACAATGTTAACAGTTCAGTCTAATCTATAATTTATAGTCTTAAGACTTAGAGATGATCCATAAGACTAGACTAGACTAGATAAGACCAGTTTATTTCACACAGTCTGAACTAAACTGAAGACATCCCTAGATTAATTCAACATGCTTTTGTTTGATATCTTCGACTAGTTTATAACAGTATGCGCATATTTTCGTATTAACAAAGATGCTGATCAAACATAATATTTTTAATGAACAAATCAGTTTTTTTTTTTTCTTTTTTTTTTTGTTTTAAATAAAAAACCGATTACACGTTTGTATAACACTGATCATAAGTCTATATTAAATCTAATTGTATACAAGTCTATATTAATAGAATCGATCATGAATTAGCCATACAATATTCAATGTCAATAACCTCCTTGGGTGTAGTTGAACTTAATACAATAGGATCTGTAGCTCCGACTACAACATTATCTTCAATACGTATTCCCATACCATGGTATTTCTTGGGATAGGCTTCATTCGGTGGAATATATATACCAGGTTCTAATAAAAAAATTCATAAATTATATGTTGATAATATTATTTGTAAAAAAATCAAGATTACCAATAGTTATAACCATTCCACGCGACAATCTCCGTGAACGATCGATATAATGAGTATCATGAACATCGAGTCCAAGATAATGACCAACATGATGAGGGTATAAAACGCGTTCAATATCCTAAATTTGCATTAAGACCAATATATATAAGTCAATAAACAATCATTTCGGCGCTGGAAATACATAAAAAAAGTTTACCCCTTCAACAAGATCAAATCCAATGTTCAATAATTCTTCTTTCATGAATTCAACCGAAATTTCATGTATTCCATTCAATGAGATGTTTTCAGCTTCTGTACAAAGCTAAAAGAATATATATATATATATATACGTTATGTATATTGTGACAAAGCTAAAAATATGTATATATGTTATGCATATAGTTTTCATAAACTATGACTGATTTTAAATATAATATACCTTGATGCATCTCCTGTTCACATTTAAGACTGCTTCATATAACTCTTTCTGAGGTTGTGTAAATTTTCCATTTACAGGCCATGTTCTAGTAACATCACTTGCGTAACCACAATATTCCTAATGGCAATAACAATCATTCAATATCATTATATGAAAACAACATTAATTAAGCGAGACAAATTCACACTTACACCACCTGCATCTAACAAAACAAGATCACCATCCCTTGTAAGTTATTAACAGTAAATATATATACAGGACATAATAAGACTATAAACTGATGATAAAGAGAGTAAACATACTGCAATATCATATCATTTCTCACGTAATGCATTGTTAGTGCATTAATCCCTCCTGCTACTACAGGAACATAAGCAAGAGACTGTGCGCCTTGAATGCGACATTCAAAATCTATTTTAGCATATAAATCGTGTTCTGATAATCCAGGCTTTGTAAATTTCATCGTCTGTTAATAAATGACCCAATAAGTATATATATATATATATATATTTAAATATTATATAATTATATGAAAGAAATAATAACTACTTGGATAAATGCCTTGCCGGCAATTTCACCACTTTTTTTCATCAATGCTATTTCAGAATCGCTCTTGATCAGCCTTAACTCTTGAATTATTCGACTCAATGGTTTTACTTTATCACAAAGGAATTTGGTGAAATTATAAAACAAATTCAAATTAATAAAGTTGATAATTACGATATATCAAGAATAATACCATAATTTCGAACTATATTCTTTTGGACGTTATCAGTTGAAAGAATATTGGTACGAGGAGGGAGATCAATATAAATATCTTTATAATTTTTAATTATATCTTTGATCTTCGAATTGAATCTTGCTGATTCCATAGCCTAATTAGAATTAGAACGCATAAAATTATTTAACTAATAAAATAAAATAAAATAAAATAAAAAATAAAAATTCTAATACTAATATGAATTTAATATTCTTGCCTCATCTGCACCAAAGAGATCAATTGCACCTAGAACACCTGTTCTTGGACCATCCCACATCTCAAGACAACGGTTTTTTGGGGGGACAAACATTGTCATTTTGTAACCTCGACGTGAATTATTTTTTTCTTAGATTTATTTAAAGAATAAATATTATAATCCTTACTAATTACATATATTTACAAAAAACTATTGTCATAAAACATTTAACATTATCTAACCTAGGACTATAGCAGAGTCTGGTTCATTGAAGCCTAAAATCCAACACAAATAATTTTAGTAGAAATTACTATTTTATCGTTAGGGTTCAGGGCCCTGAACCCTAATTATCGCCAATTATTTTTAATCAGAATTTTATATACCGCATAAATACAAAAAATCAGTGTTTTGATGGAATGGATAACTATAGAATAAATAAATAAATAAATTTGATTCATTTTATTGATATAAAATTTAAACTGATAATGATTTTTATATAATACGAACAATACTTTGTTTGACATATATCGCATGCGATATCCTAATGAAACTGCAACGCTGTTCTCTGATAATCTATCCATTAACATTGCTCTTCGTAACTCGTACTCTACGGCTTTAATACCTGGTGTGGCTATAATTTTATTGTGCACAATTAATTAAAAAATAAAGATTTATATAAGTTAACCGTACCGAAAAATTTATTATCCAAATCTTCTATTAAAATCTATTACTTTCACCCGGTTTCATCAAATGAGGGTGTGTTTCAGGAGTAGGCTGACCGAAACTACGCGGTTCAGCCGGGGTGAGCATTGCATGAGTACCGAAAGAACGATTGTATACCCCGAGGACTGAACGAGTAAGGCGGTTGGTAGCATTTGAAAAGATATCCTTGGTGAAATGTAAAACCCAAATATAACGGAAAAAACAAACTAACTTCGCCTTATACGAGAGTACAATCTTAATGAGGTCGAAAACATTGCACTTGTGGCTTAGATTATTGATCTGTGCTGCCTCACTTAACATGACGTTTCAATGGTACAAAACTGGTACAAACCATGACTAATTTTGGAAAGTCTGCCAAATTTGAGTGGACGAATTGGTGACGTTCTCATGCAGTGTCAGGTTCTCCTTATTTTTTTTTTTTCTCGACTGCTTCCATAAATTGAAAATTATGAAATCATTATTTTCTCTAGTGTTTTTTTGTTAATTCTGTTTTTATATATCGAATATTGATATATCGATATTATACACATATATATTTATAGATTTTTTTATAGACTACCATATTTTCCATAGATGTGGAAAATCAACTAAGACTTTTCTTGTCTTTAACTTCGGCATTATATCCATTTCTACATGAACTTAATATATAGTACACAACCTTGCATAAAGCACAACAGAAAATCATGCTTTCAGTTATTAACACAGCTTATAATATTTTATTATTCTACTCAATTGTACTTTAATTAATCATTCACGACAGTAAAGCGGCAGTTACTTTTCTCTGTTCTGCTAACTTGCTACGTTTTCTTAATAGCTTATTTCCGTCCAAGCGACGTTTTATTTATTTAACGAAATCATTCCACTTTCTTTTATATTCATGGCAGATTTTTCTCTTCCTATTCCACCAAAAGATGACTTTCATCTTATGACATTAAAAGATTTTCAGATTTCAGACTCTTTAGGTTCATCTATCGATCTAACTAATTCCATAAATTTTGGAACATCTGAACCTTTAACTCTCAATACAAATAATTCATTTCCTGGCGCAAAACGAGCAGGTAAAATTTCTACAGCTCAACCTCCAGCCAACATAAATTCTAAAGCCTCTGAAGTGGAAAATGAATCCCAAAAAATTACGCATTCTGACAAAACGTCTACGAAACCTCGATGGTTAAATTTGGGTAGACTTAAATCCAAAAAACAAACCTATGAGGATACACCGATTAAGACGACAACTTATGCCAACTCTAATTTAAATCCTGCTACTAATACCCTTAATGCATCGATAACATCTACGTCATCTCCCGCATCATTGAAAATTGACACAATGATAAATGACGGAAATAATAATGTTCGGAATTTTTCAAATGTGAAAAAATTTAACATATTTCAAAAATTTGGTTATAAAAAAAACCAAATCAACGAAAATAGCAACTCAGCTGCAGAGAAACATTTAACTCAACCCACTGGACTTTCAACAATGTCAACTGGGAAACCAGAAAGTGATAAGAGTAACTTTGGGTCCCCCGTCGAAAGGTTGAACCATAGTCATTCTTTTACCTCTGATCCTAGTCCTGCTGAATCACCTCTTGAGCAACCAGAGAAGCTGGCTTCTCTAACGAATCCACCAAAAGTCGCTCTGTCCCTTTATTCTAATGATAGTGTTAATAGTGTTAACTATGATAATAATAATAACGTTAATAATTACAATAATAATAATAACAAGAATGAAACGAAAGCCGGCATTAAACAAAAACAAAAAGTAGTGATATCCGAAGGTCAGGACCTCATGGCTTCATCTTATACTTTGTTTCCCAATGAATATTTGGCTTCAACAAATCGATTATCCGCTGAAACTATGGAAACCTATAATGAGAATGTAAATGTAAAAAATACTGATATTGTGGCTCCTTTAAGACATCCCACAGATGATATACCAAAAGTTGCATCTTTAACAACTCGTCGTAGTCGAATATTTGATATTTTTACTTCTATAAGTTCTCCTCGACGTGAATCACTTTCTTCACGAAAGAGTTTTGCTAATCTTAGAGATCAAAAAACTTTAGCACAGGAGTCGTCAGTTTCAAAGGATCAAACATTTGTAAATAACCATTCACATCTAAGATCAAAAGTTGACGTTGAAAACGTGGACATTTCATTTGGGAAGGACTTTAAAAGGTCTACTTCAGTAATTCAGCCCACAGAATCAACTGATGGACAAGATAAAGGTGATAAATCTCCTTTACGACTTTTCAAGAAAAGGTTTTACCAAAACTTTTTGCCTTCCCACAATTTTGATGTAAAATCAAACGCTATTACAATAGAAAATGATAATAAACAGTTCACTAAACCGATCAATATAGAAAATTTATTGTTATCTACCGATGATTCTGCTGATAGCGATACCGATAATGATGATGATGACGACGACGATGATGATTTAACATTTAATGAAGGAATTACTTCTATGTCTAAATCACAAGCATTAAGTCCCACTTTATACTCATCTTCAATATCATCATTTTCAAGGTCTTTCAATTCAGAGGATCCGTCTGCCTTCAGAACTTTCTCGGATCCTCAACCTTCTAATTTCAATGAAACTAATTTCTCGAAACCAGATTTACCCCTAGAAGATGTTTGGGATGTTCTTGTCAATCCTCAAACAACGGATAAAGGTCATGCTAGATTAAGTAATAATCGTTTATCATATATCCCGGAAAATTTCTTTAACAAGCTTTATAATATTCAAGAACTTTATCTTGATCGAAATACGCTTCGAGATTTACCTGAAGAGCTTTTAAAACTTGCTAAATTGGAAATTCTAGACCTTAGTAATAATTGTATTTCAGAATTTAATCCAAGATTAAAATTTAAAAGACTAAAAAATTTGAGGCGTCTCAATCTGGACAATAATATGCTCTCCGATATAGTGAGCATATGTAAACTTAAAAAATTAAGGGAGCTTAGGGCTAATAATAATTTATTGGTATCACTTACAACGGACATTTCAAAATTATCAAAATTACGTCTATTATATTTGGATAATAACCAACTTACGAGTCTACCTGATTCGATTAGTAAATTAAAATCTTTGTGTGTACTACGTCTAAATAATAATAATATAGAATCCCTGCCATCAGCAATATGTTCTTTACGTCATTTACAAGTTCTGGAATTGAGAGCAAATTTATTAACACAATTACCAGAAAATATTAAAGAGTTAGAAAATCTAGCAAAATTGGATGTTTCCAACAATAGACTAACTTCGCTTCCAAATGATATCGTAAGATGTAGTAAATTAACTCATTTGATCGCTTGTAATAATCAGCTTGAATCAATACCTTCCAAAATTGGGCAACTAGGTCGATTGCTTACTCTTAATCTTCGTGAAAATCTGATTAATAACCTCCCTACGGATTTAGGCAGGCTTGTAAATTTAACAGATTTGGATTTATCCTATAATGAATTGATCGTTTTACCTGAAGATCTAGGAAATCTTAAGAAACTTACTGAAATCAAGCTTAATAACAATCCATCATTATTGGCAATCCCAGAAACTTTACGAAAATTGTCCCAAATTAAAAAGATTCATTTGCAACATTGTAATCTTAGCTCAATTCCTTTCGAAATAGGTGATGCGTATAGCCAACTTGAATACGTTAACCTATCTTTTAATTTATTTGATGCGGTTCCTAATTTGCACGGAATGTATGGAACGACCGTTTTAAACATATCAAATAATCGAATTGATGACTTAACTGAACAAATAGGTCAATTGGAATCATTACGTGAGTTATATTTGGTGAACAATAAACTTACGCATCTGCCAAAATCAATTGGTCGACTAAAGAATTTAGAAATATTGGATGTTTCAGAAAACATGCTTGTTGGATTGCCTTTTACAATTGGTGATTGTAAAAGTTTACGAGAACTCAGATTACGAGGTAATTCATTAGAAAACTTACCAATGACATTAGGACGACTAACCAATTTAGATGTATTCTACATTGGTCAATGGCCGATGACTGAGTTCAATATAACAAAAGATGAAAATCATTATGAGAACTTGAAAATGAGTCCATATCAACATAAAATTCCACTATCTGTCGAACGAACATTATTATGGAGAATGCATGATTCAATATCAAAAAGACTAAGGGATATAGATTACAATGATGGAACTTCAGAAAGAAGTCTATCGGATGAAAGCCAAGATGGTGGAAGTCATTCATCGACGCCAGACACATCGACCAATTATGCTAGTCCACCAATACCAAGAGATGATGTAATATTAAAAATGGCAGTTTTAAAGGGTGTTTACGACCAAATAATGAAGGACATGCCCAATAATGATTATGACAAAGAGTTATGCGGAGATGATACAGCTGAATTTCCTGATAATGTGAAAAAGAAAAAGTTCTCAAAACTAAAAGACTTTAAATTCTTAAAGATAAGTGATAACAGGTAGAAATTATTGGTTCTTATCGTCATATTTGCATATAAAGAGGATTTATATCAAAAAACATTACGTTATATTAAACTTCAATCTGTTCTTTGTATATTTTACTTTATTTTAATTCATTATGATCTTTTAATTCTACACTTTGTGTACCATAGACTAACTGCTAAATTATTATTGTTGATAGTTTATTATTATTAATTGAATATTAGTACTGTCCTTAAATGCGATAGAAAATGGGTTTTCCTAAATATTATAAAAAAATAGTTCTTTGTTAATATAGGGATAGAGTTATTTAGGAAAAAAATTAGGCAATTACTCATTTACGAATAAAGGATAAATACAGTAATAAAATAATGATAATCTGTAATCTTCAGATTTTTTTTCAATAATGATCTCGACTCAGTACGTTGAGCCTTAATTCGAGTCATGAACTTGGTTGAGTCGTCATAATTTACTAAGTCATGATCACCTCTTGTTATCTTTCCCAGTCAGGGACGCCGAAAATTATGGATCCATAATTTTTTCCATAATTTTCGAAATTATTTAAATTGAACAATATATAAGATTAAATAGAATCAAAGCCAATAAAATATAAAATATGGTGTGATTACTGAGATTAAAAGTAATGATTTGATCAGTTGTCCTAAAATCGCTTATGAATCATATCAATATAAAATGCTGCACAGCAATAGCATAATTATAAAATAATTCTAAAACTGGAAATGTTTCTCTTAGAAGATAATTTACACTAACAATTTTATTTGACTGTATAATACTATAAAATTATGTAAACTTATGTTGATAAATAAATTATAGAATAGTTATAGAATAGTTAAGTGGATTTTAATATTAAAATATTTTTTATAATAATAGAAAAAGAAAGAAGCCATCCTACGAGAGTGAAATTGCTTCAAATGACAAGCTAACAGTCTCTGATTCTTTTAAATATGCTTTAGAAAATGTTGATACTTCTTTATCCCGAATCTAGGTCAAGTAGTTAATAAATAAATATGAACAATGTTTTTAATAAATAAAGAGCATAAGTGTCAGGTTATTAGTACGAGGATGGGTGGAATTATGATGGTAATGCGAGCTAGCATTATGAACAATAACGTGAACAATGATCAATGTGTTACAAAAATTACAATCTTACATTTCAAGTAATTTTCAGTAAATTAATTTTCCTCGTGTGTACCAGCATTACAGAAGTTTTTAGCCTGTATTATTGCATCGAATACATTATTCGCATTGTTACCATCGGTAAATTACAGGTAAATTACCAGGTAAGTTACCGAATTACTGCGGAGTTAAGAAAATATTGGGCGGCTTTAAGATATAGTTTGGCTGGCATTAATACTGAGGTAGACTATAAAAAACAAGCATGGTTGTTGAGAGAGTAAACCGCCGGTTTAGCTAATTAAAATTTTTTATTCTTTACGGTAACTTACGACATTTAAAATGATGAAAATAATAAAAAAATAATAACACGCAATTGTGTTCGAAATAGGGCCTCAGTGCGATGTGAAATGAAAGGGCGGATTATGCGATAATTATGCGATGCGATTGGTCCAAATTATGCCCCCGATGCTCACCATTCACAAAATTATGCGAAATGATAGTAAAATTATGCGATTTTTTTTAAATTTTATTTATGGATTTTAGTATTTAGTACATGGTGCACTGCAGTTAGTGATGGGACCTCCCGCATTATTAATACGTAATTAATAATAGTTAATAATTATTAGCCCGAGTTATTAACTAAAAACTACTTAGTAATGTGTGGCACAGTATGGCG